TAAAAGAAAAAAATTCTTTTTCTTTATATAATTTTGTTTACGTGGCAATAAAACCATATATTTCCCTCCCCTTCCTCTCGCCCTTCCTTTCTTTTTCCCTTTCACTTTCGTTTTTATCGGGAAATTCAAAAAAAAAAAAGAAAAAAAATGGGGGTCGATTTTTATTAATCAAAAAAAATTTTTTTCCTTTTTTGGCGAGTGAATTTCCGTTAAAAAAAAAAGTATAAAAGTTTAAAAATTTAATAAATTTAATAATATAATATACGTACGCGTCATTTTCAATTATTTCCCCTTTCCCTCCCCCCTTTAAAAAAAAAGAAAAAGGAGTAAATCGAATGGAAGAAAATTTTTTGGAAAAAAGTTTTCTTTTTTATCAATTTTTAATAATGTAAAAATAAACGATAAGGAGGTATATAAATTGGGCGAGTGAAAAAAAGGAAGTAAAAAAAAAAAAATGGCGGAAAGGACACTCGAGAAAATCCCGTGGCAATGGACTTTTCATTAGTCAAACTGATTTTATTGCCCTAAGAGTGGAGAAAAAAGGCAACGGGGGGGCAAATCGATTTTCATTTATTATCAATAACTTTTTTAAAAGTTACTAAAAATTGTTTTTTTGCTTTTTTTGTTTTTTTGTTTTTTTTTTTTTTGTCGTAGTCGTTATTAAATTGAAAAAAAAAAAAAAAACAAAAAATTAAACAAAGTAAAAAAAAAAAAAGGGAAAAAACAACGAAAAGGTAATCAAATCCAATCCAGGCTTTTTTACTGGGGGGAGGGGGGAACAACAAAAAAATTTTATTTATTTACTGTTTTTTTTTTGCTCTTCGTTAAAAAGTTTTATTTATTTTGATAGTAATTAGTTATAAATTAGATAAAATAATTTTTTTTTTTTGTTTTGTTTTCAGTTTTAAAAATGCATTCGATGGGATTACATTCGGCTTTGGCCATAAAAAGGCAAAGGAAAAGAAGAGCGGATATGAAAAAGGCAAAGGGTCGTCGTTATAGCATTCAAAGCACCGAATCCGGTTTGGGCGGATCCCAAAGTTCTTTTGCAAGTCCACGTAACAGTTTAGACGGAACGGAAAGGTCAAAGAAAAAAACAATGAAAAGCAAAGTGACCAGCTTTGAAAGCAACGTAGGAATCGGAATGCTTCAAATCGGTGTCGTTTTTATCGTTTTGGGTGTTTTCCTATTGGGTTCTACACTAATACCGGATGATTTCGACGATTGGTCATGGCAAAACATATTCACTAAAAAGGCATGGTGGAACGAATTAGTTATAACGGGTGCCTTCGCATTGTTGCTAGGCACATTCCTAATAGTTTTAGATAGATTTATTTCTAAAAAAGAAGAAGAAGAAATTAACGAATACGTACAGGGACAATTGACGAGATCCCGATCGGGACACAGATTGGTAAGAGATGTCGAAACGGGTAATTTGATACCTAGGAGAACGAAAACTCTAACGGCAATATCCGACAATTTGCAACAAGGAGAATTTGACGACGTGCCCGCGGCCGTTCATTCGCCAAAATTGAAAAGTCCACCGCCGAACGGTAATCAGGTATTCATGAACGGAGAAACGGGTATGTTGAGTCCTCAATTGGAAAAAATATTAGAAGAAGACATATCACCGTTAATGGACCACGATAAGTTGCCTAATATGAACGTTACGATGGATGAATACGACATTGGAACCGTGAACACGAGTCCGGCTTCAATATTCGAAGCTCACGAAACTCAGGAATTAATAAAGACACCCATGAGCAAATACCATCAAATAAGAAGAACAAAAATATAGGAAAAACTATTCACCAACCAGTACCAAGGTGGTATCATAACCAACGATATCGAAAGGTAAACATTATAATTAAAAATTATTTAAAAAAAACTCGAACGTACCTTTCGATGACGTCATGAAAGCATGATGATGACGTATTTAAAACATTTTGTTTCACGTCACAAAACAAGCAAAGCGTTTTTTTTTTTTCTATTTGAAATGTTTTCTTGTTAAACGTTTATTCGACGTTTAATATAAAACTTATTTGTATAACTATAATAATAATAATAATAATAATAATAATAATAATAATAATAATAATGATAATTTATTTCGCACAATCAATTTAATATATATATACAAATATAAATTTATATTTTGCTTCACGTAATTTAATTCATGTGCTTAATGCAAAGAGGCTGCGAGTATGTAAGGATCAGGGTGACGAAATCATCTTTTCTTTTTTTCTTTCTCTTCTTCTTCCTCAACTATTCGAAGACAACGAGAAGAAGAGAAAGGAAAAAAAAGAGAGAGAAAAAAGATGAAGAAAATTTTTTTGAGCTTATTTCTCATATGCGAATGAATCCTTTGTATAAATAAAGAATGGTGTTGTTGTGCGTACCTGATTTTTAATATATATAAAAATTTTTACATTTTCTATTTAAAAAAAAAAAAAAAATATTTTAATATTATAATCGATCCGAGGTTATATTATATATATACTATTATTATTATTAATCTAACACTATTATATATATATATAATATTATCTTTCTCTAGTGCTTTCTTTTTTTAATTTATTTAAGATAAAATTATTTAAAAAACTAAAAAAAAAAAATTTCGCCTAATCTATTACTATTACTACTACTACTACTAATATTATTATTATTATTATTATTATTACTAAATTTATAGCATTTATACATTTATATGAATGAACACATTTAAATATTATATTGTTATATATATACATAAACGATATTATTTGGTATTATTAATATATTAAAAAAAATTTTCATCGCCTTCATTAAAAAAAAAAAATTGTAATAATAATAATAATTTATTATTATTATTATTATGTATAAAAGGTTTTTTGATTTAAATAATTTGTTTAAATTTAAAATTTGTTTAAAATCAAAAAGATTATGATAATGATAATGATAATGAAAAATCGATTTTTTACATAAGAAGCACTCGTGCCTGTTCATTTTTCTTTTTTTTTGGAGGGGGGAGAGGGGGGAATTTTTTGAAAAATTGTTTTAAAAAAAACGAAAATAGGATAAAAAGGTGGAGAGGGGAGGAGGAGGAGAAGGGAAGAAAAGGGGAGGGAGGAGGAAGACAAAATGAAAAATACCCGTGGGTTTTTTTTTTACTTTAAAATACTCGAAAAAATTTAGAGGGGAGGGATGGAAATAAAAGGGTAGAAAGGTTAAATAAGAATAATAATAATAATAATAATAAATAAATTTCATTATATTTTCCGGAGAAAAAACTCTTATGACAACACGCAACTCATGTACATAAAAAAAAAACTCGACTTATATTTTTATTAATGCAAAACTCAACCCCTGACATTTTTTTTTTTTATTTTAAATTTTCGATCAATTTTCTTTTGTTTATTTTTTATAAAAAAAAAAGGAAAATTCTAGAAAGAAAAAAGTGAAAAGTTCGAATTACAATGTTTGGTTTCGAATTTTAAATCATCGTTATGTTATTTTTAGACCGATAGATAAATATTATTTTAAATTTACACCAAAAAAAAAAAAGAAAAAAGAAAATTGACGTTTATGACGTCACGAAATTTAAAAAAAAATCACAAAACGTGTAAATGGTACACGTGTGTGTACGTGTGTATTTTTTAAACCTTATTTAAACATTAACGTTATTTAAAAATCGGAGGAAATTTGGGGAGGGATCGATATCGGAAAACTTTTTCAGAAAAAAAGAAAGAAAAGAAAAAAGTATAAAAATTTTCTTTTGGCTCATTTTCAAAACGAAACTTCGTTTTTTTTTTTGCCAAAAAAATTTTCCGACATAACATTATAATTTATATTGTTGTTGACATAAATATATTTATGATTTTTTTTTTTTGGTTTAAAAAATCTATTAACGGTTTCTGCGTTATGCGAAGAGGGAAAACCAAAAAAAAAAACGAAAAAAGTTTCTTCTTCCGTTTGCTAAACATTAAATTTACAAAAGAAAATTTTTTTTTATGTAAAAATTACGATTGGAATATGTTATCTATACGTATTGTATCGATTTCGAGTATTTTATAGCGAAGCGAATGACGATATAAATAATAATAATAATAATAATTTTCTTTTTTTTTTTTTAAATAAGGAAAATAAAATTTTCATTGCGGTTTGACATGCGTGAATAAATATTATTATTATTTATTTATTTTGACGACGTTGATTCGATAATAATCAGGTACGAAATTTTCTTTTTCTTTTTTTTTATTATTAAATAAATTAAAATCGCCGCGAATAAATAAATAATTTGCTTTATTAACGTGTCATCAGACGCTTTTTGTCATTCTAAAAAAAAAAAATCCTTTTTTAAATAAGCAAAGCGTAATAAAATTTAACCCGAAATAATTTTTACCTGATCTGACGGGAAGTTAACCGCAAAAACCAAAAAAAAAAGAAAAACCGCAAATATGGCGTTCGAGTGACAAAAATAAAACGTGGAAGCAGAATTTTTATAAACACAAAAAAAAACATTTTTACTTTTTTTTCTCTTTTTTTTTTTTTTTTTAATTTTATGTAACTTATTAAAATTTTTTTAAAAACATTATTATTATTGTTGTTATTATCATTATTAGTATTATTATTATCATTATTATTTTTACGATGGTTTTA